ACATTTTTTTATTATAATATAATGCTACATGTTATTTCTTGATTGTTATGAATGAGTTCCCAAAAAATTGAAGAGAACAAAAACAAAAGCAGGATTAAGGCAAAAAATAACGTTAGAGATATAATAATAACAAAGTGTAGCTATTTTCCTCTAATTGTTAGGATTGAAATTGTTACGACTTACGAGTGTTTTACCATGCATAGATCGACAGAAATCAGTTGAGTGAAATGGAGTGTAAGTCGAGAAAAAAAAATAGTTAGTTATTTTAGCATACAAAAGATCAATGTGTCTACATGTCGTGAGCGGCGGTCTCTTATTCTAAATTCTACGGCCATGGAATTCGTTGCACCCAACTTAAGAAAAAAGTAAAAAAAGTTATGATACGGTTTCTTCTCTGGTTCCCCTCTGATTTATCTTGGAAGAGGAAATGGAAAAACAGACACAAGAAGCCAAAGAGGAGGCAGATGAAGGCCTCAACTCCAACAACAATCGTCCAAGTCACCGATGCTTTCTTCTCCGATTCAGGGGAAGTGTTCGGTGGTGGCGCATTATTTATTATTATTAGATCTGGATTTCCACTTGCGTTGACCAAAACATACTCGTTGAACTGAGGAAGAACCCCAGAGAGCTGATTATTGGAGAGTATGAGCTGCGTTAGCGACACCAATCCAAGCAGGGAATCAGGAACCTTGCCCGAGAATCTGTTGTTTGAGAGATCCAAAACTTCCAAGCTCGTCAGTTGAGAAAGAGTGGCTGGAATAGGTCCTTGAAAGAGGTTGCTGCTGAGATTCAAAACAATCTGCAACTTTGGTGGCATTCTAGGAATACTCCCACTTAGTTTATTTCCTCCAAGGTTGAGTTCTAACAGAAAATTCAAGTCTCCAACAGTGACGGGGATTGAACCAACAAGATTGTTGCTCCGTAGGTTCATGTTTGTGAGTTTCGTCATATTTGAAATTGAAGATGGAATTGAACCAGTAAGATTATTACCGCTGAGGTTGAGTACTCCCAGACTCTGTAACCATGTAATCTCAGGTGGGATTTGCCCACCCAACTCGTTTTGCTGAAGCTTCATAACTTGAAGCTTGGTTAAACGGCCCAGTTCCACTGGCAGTGTCCCAGTTATATCATTCTGAGCCAAGTTCAATAGCGACAAATTCTGGCAGTCACCCAATTCCGGAGGAATGGGCCCAGAAAATTTATTGTTTTCCAGCTCCAAGTAAACCAAGTTCTGAAGTGTTGCCAGCTTTGCAGGGATTGAGCCGCTAAGTGAGTTGTTTCCCAATCTCAGCCTTACCAAGCTCCTGGAAGACACACCTTCGGGTATTTTTCCACGTAACAAATTATTAGATAAATCCATGTGCTGCAAACTTGACTGTGACAAAAGGTCAGATGGAATCAACCCAGATAACCTATTATAGCTAAGGTCTAAAATTTTGATATATCTTGTAATCCCAACAGGAACTTCACCAACAAAATTGTTCAGATTAGCTGCAAACCGCTGCAGGGTGGTGATATTTGAAATGGATTTTGGGATTTCTCCACTCAATCCATTGGATGACAGAACCAAGAATTGCAGCTTGGATAGGCTATCAATAGCTACAGGAATGGTTCCAGTGAGATTATTAACACTAAGATCAATAAGGGTTAAATTCTTATATGTCAGCACTTCTCCAGGAATTTCCCCATGGAACAAATTCTTAGACAGCTGAAGTTGTTCCAAACGAAAAGATTTCCCTAGCTGAGTAGGAACAGACCCGGTGAATTTATTGGTACTAAGATTCAAAATTTTGAGTGAAACCAACTGACTCAACTGTGAATTAATCTCTTTGGTAAAAAAATTAAAAGACATATCCAAGATTTCAAGTCCGACAAAATTTTGAAAAGCAGGCAAGGGACCAACCAACCTGTAACTGCTAAAATCCAACATCTTCAACCCAACAATCCCTCGACAACCATCGAAGAACCCATCTGAAATACTTGTCAAACTGTTGTTGGACAGGTCCAGATACTGCAAAGAATCAATCTTGCACACCTCACTCAGAAAGTTAGAGCTAGAGAGACCAAACCCAGATAAAGAAAGTGAGATTATGGAGCTGTTGTTTGGGGGGCCGCTGCATGTGACTCCTTGCCATAAACATGGGTTTGGCTCCTTGGTGACATCCCATGGTGAAGATGAAGCTTTGAGCAATTGAGGCAGATTGAGCATGATACTCCTTTGATTTTCAGCAAGCTGAGCCAACACCAAGGGATACAACAAGAAGAAGAAGGACAAGAACAAGGAAAGCCTCATTTTCCAGACAATCTATCCCTCTATTTTTTTCTAGTATTATATATATATATATATATTTATTCTATGCAATCGTTTGTAATATACGTGGGATCTAAGTACAACCACAATACAATGACAACTAAGTACAACCACAATACAATGACAACTAAGTACAACCACAATTACAAACACAATACTTCACAGCAATCCCAAAGTTAACCTAATAGACCAAGTAATTACTAAGTAAGCCACTTAACCCGTGGCACCTTCTAATGGAAAATTGGAACTGCAATCTCACCTTGACTAATTGACCAAGACCGCAAAAGTCATTTCTCCTTTATTATAAACGCGTTCTCTATCGTAGCATTC